TTTATTTTGAATCGTTGTAACGCTTGAAGTTGTAATGGATTCGAAAGCAATGAAACCGATTTCCGACGCGAACAATAAGCTTAAGAAAAGCTTTCCCTGATCAATATTATGTTTTACTATTTTGAATATTTCATTTTAAACTGAATTTATCCTAATCCTAATTGTATCTTATACTAATCCCATGTGAACCACATATATCTCAACAATTTAAAAATAAGATTACTAAAATGCATGAAACACTATTTTAAATATTTTATTTAAATGTTAATCTATCATAATACTAATTATATTACTAAATAAATAAATATTACTAAAAATAAACAAACCCAAAAATTTTCAAAATTTACACAAAATACCCTTAAAAGTTCAAACTTACACAAAACACTCCGACTTTTTACAACTTAAAACAACAAACATGAAATTAGAAATTAATAACAACCCCCAAAGAATTTAAAGTTTGCAATTAACACCCTCAACATGTCAAAAATTTAGAAAAAATCTCAAAATTTTAAATTACAAAATAGCACCCTAAAATTCTGAAATTTTAAAACTTATAAATAGTATAGATAAGTACAAGCCATTACCACGAGACACTTAAAATTTTAAAATTTGTAAAAAATAACATCAAAGTTACAAAAATTACAGAGGCTGCCTCAAAAGTTAAAAATTAGAAAGAACCCTAAAATTTCAAAGCTTATAACCTGTACACATCCAATCTAGAAATTATCAGCAGACAGCTAAAAATTTAAATTTTGTAAAAAACAACCCAAAGTTTCAATAATTGTTAAAGCACCCTCAAACTTTTGGAGTCATATAAAATATTCTAACAATTAAATCTTACCACCAACACACGAAACATGAACATTACAAGTTTTTAAAATTGCAAAACGCAAACTCAAAAGTTTAAAATAAAAAAAAGGCTAATATTTATAAACTTGGTAATAAAATAGCAATTGTTTGATGTTCTTTCATTAAGATATATAAATTTAACTTTCAATTTAAAGTTTACTATCCCTTTTCAGCATCTAAAAATAGTATAAGTTGATGCTAGTTAAAATAGCAAAAATAATAAATTAAAAACATCCAAAAAAGGAATAAAATTTTAAAAAATATATGATAGATTAAAATTAACATCACTGTATAAATTAAAGCAATTGCATATAGTTTTACTAAATATTACTTTATTAGAAGACGAAATTTCATAAAACTGATAAAAGACTATAATATAATAGCTTAGCATTAATTGATTATAATGTATAAATATTGATGTCTAATGTTAATAATATTTATAGGGTAAAAAATATATAAGGAGTTGCGTATAGAGAAACTATCAAAAAATTCAGGGCTATCCTTCAAAAGAATCAAGCTGTTTTCATTTCAAATGGAGAAGTGAAGAAAATAATCCCAAAATTTGAAAATGTTCATGAATAACTTCTATTAACATTGATAAAAAGCAGATCTATCAAAGAAGCACTAACTCCGTTCTCCTATCAACTTTGTCCCAATCAAAGAAGCATTCTCCATAGAAGATATAAAAAAATTTAGTAAGTATTTATAAATTTTCACACTTTATTCTCGAATACTAAATGAATCATAAGTATTGCCCTTTGGGACAAGGATTTGACGAGGAAGTGAGAGAGGGGACACCAAACATAGGTGTGTGCCATTGACCATTGCACCAATCCAATGGACTATGTCATACAGGGAACAACCCATGAAGGTTGGGATAGAAAGAAAGCTGGCTTTGCTTCTGTGTCATTCGAGCTGCCAAACTTGCTATAAAATTACATAAATATCTTGCAATAGAAACTAAAGCGAAGCTATTGAAAGCCTATATTGCGATATATAACAAGATAGATTAGAGGAGGGAAATCATTATAATAGACAAAAGATACACATTATACTTATTTATAATAGCATAAATAAAAAAAATGACCTTTTTCTTTTTCCTATATAGTGGCATGACTCTGTGTGTAACTTTATTTAAGGATATGGTTACCAATGAAGATTAATTTTTGAAGACACCATTAAATATAAGCATGTAATAGCACTATCAAATTTCGAGATATTTAAATATGAAAGTAACATATTTTATTACCAAAATTCTTATTAAAAGCCACTAAACATAAAATTCACTTTATATCTATCTCAAATTATAGAGGAGATGTGCATATCATCGATGTAACTCAATAAAGAAATATTATATTTTATATCTACTATGCAGGGCTCATTTATAACAAGCTATCAAGACAAAAACATTTCCATCCAGGCTTTTTATAAATTCAACATAAATTCAAAAATACTGATATATGCAGTTATCATAACATTCAAAAGAGGTATGACTTTACATGACCCACTCTAAAATATTTTACTAATATACAAACATGCTAATGCACCTATAATACAAAGATAACTACTATTTATAATAGAGTCGAGCCATGGTTCTACGCTTGCAAAGGCTACAAAAAATATGGATAGAGATGTTAATAAGAGTGTCCAAATGATAAATGTCACAGAATCACCGATGACGTAGTACCAAGTTAAGTAATATCCCTTCTTCATGAAATAAACATATTAAAATTAAATATTAACATTATAATCTAAGGTAAATTAACAATGAAAAAATACAGTTGTTTGGTTTAAATCCCTGTGAAAAATGAACATGGACAGAGCAAATATAACATTATTTGACACGACATAAACTCTTATTGGATGTACAATAAAAGAATTCATACCAGAGAAATAAGAGGTAACTCCTAATCTTATGTAATTAATAAATTAGAAACACAAAATTTTATATCTATGATATTAAAATTTATTCTCATTGAAACAAAAAATTATTCAAAGTTCATATTTCCAAAGATGTTTGTGTTGAACATCGAAAATACATTTAACTTCTTTGTGAAGTAAGACAAGAAGACAAAAGATGAACGAGCTCTGGGAATGATAACAGTATGAGAAATCTAACTCCAGCTTGATATCACAATTACTATACATGATAAAGACACTAATCCAGAATTGCTCAGGAAAAAGATAAAAGAGGAGAATGATTAATCTTGACTCAATTAAAAAAATAAAAAAGGAGGAATAAAATATCTATTTTTTGAATATTTTATAGAATAATTTAAATTTTTGAGTAAAATTAGGCATTCTTTTAGAAGGGATCGTGAACTTTTTAAATACTTATATTTATGTGGATGCTTTTATCATATTAAAGTGTACTAGAGTTACCATTAATATTTAGTTTATGATTTTTTATGAAGTCTATCAATAATTATTAACAATCTTCATATTTTCTTTAGATGTTCTAGCCCACTTTTAATTAATCATCTTGGTTTATTGGCTTTAATTATTCATCTTCTTTTTATAACGCTATTTTTTCAAGTGGTTTTCACTTTTGTGACACTGTAATTTCTCAAGTCAAGCTTGGTTTCATGTTAGTCTAGTTTCATGTTAGTCTAAACAATATGAAAATTCAAATTGACTTTGGATTACGTCTATTTCCTATCAATTCAATTATTAACATGAAAATTTAAATTCGATGTATCCTATTAAAACAAATGTCAAAGAAAATAAATAATCATAATGCTAAAGTTTAGAGACACAAGTGAGCAAAAAACTATCAAAGTGGAATTGTAGAATAAATTTTAATAAGAAAATAAATTAAAAATACTTAATCGTGATAGTTAACCACTTGCATAAAATGTTGTACGTGTGTGTGTATGTATATAAAAATTTTACATGAAACTTTATCTCAAATGACAAACCTCCTTCAAAAGATGAGACTACATCCTCACTCCATATTAATGAATTGGTCCATACTGAAAACTGTAGGTGCGCTGGCAGCGCTCCGAAATCGTGCGCTGCAGGGGTTTTTTCGCAAAAAACATAGCGATTTCAGTTCCCGTGACCCCAAATCTCTTCGTGACCCTGATTCTCTCTCTCCTCCAAAATTCCTCAATCCCTCCGAAAATTCCTCAATCCCTCTCCCCAAAATTCTTCAATCCCTCTCCCCCCTTCCCATGATTCGAGCCCCAAACCCCAACTACGATTCGAGCCCCAAACCCCAACCCCAAATCCTCCGCCATGATAACTCCTTCGACCACGAAACCGTCGTGAAACCGCCGTCGGGCGTGCGCCCTCCTTCGACCGCCGTGAGATCTCCCCACAGACCTTACCCTCTCCCCTCCTCCTTACAGATCTTCCCCTTCCTACGATTCGAGCCCCAAATCCTTCGCCATCACTCTCGTCGCCATCACTCCCGAGAACCATCGAACAACCCCCGTTTGTTCTTCCTCATCGGACTCGTCGCCATCACTCTCGTCGTCGAGCTGCTGATCTCGCCGTCACTCTCGTCGTTGAGCTACTGATCTCGCCGTCACACTCCTTTTGACTCTCAGGTAACTCAGCTCCTTTCATTTCCGATCTCTACAATTTCTTCCCCTTTCTATCTGTAAAAATCTCATAAAATTCGTAATTGAGTTATGTATTTGGTTTTCATTGGTATTTGGTGTTCATGTTTTGCTCTATTACTGATTTCTTAAAGGGTAAACCTAAGTGTAGTATTAGGTTTAGGGCAAATTGTAATCAGTGATCGTTTAATTTGAATTGGTGAACGATTCTTCATTGGTATTTGGGTTTTCTGCCTAATTTATGTTTGGAGTGACATTAGAAGCTTAGAAACACTACTTCCTTGTTGATCATTACGAAATAGCTGCATCTACTTTAAGTAAGATTGTAGTGCAGTTTTCTGCCTAATTTTTATTCCGCAGATTAGTTTCTCTGAATAAAGTGAACTCCAAAAACATATAATAAGCTTTCTGATTGTAAATAACAAAGAATACATGGGCTCTCTTTTTTGGTCTTTAACTTTTTTCAATATCATTGGTTTTAATTGTTGTTAATTTATTAGTTTTTATTGGAGCTTTATGAAAATGAGAATGTGGTTTCAATCTGTAATATTTTTTCTGGTTGTAATTCAATCTTCTTTGTTGTATTAGGTTTGGTTATTTTCTAGAATGGATGAAACAAATTCAACTAGTGTAGAGTTCGGAATAGGAGAATCAAGTGCTATTGGAAGTGAAATTGCGGACAATACTATAAATGCTCCTAAACCACTACTAGGAATGAAGTTTAATAGTTATGAAGAAGGTTATAACTATTATAACTCTTATGCATTGTTGATGGGTTTTGGAATAAGAAAGAGCACGGTAAATTACTCGCGTAAGACTAGAGAAGTGGTAGACAGAAAGTTTGTTTGTGATAAGGAGGGCCATAGACCTAAAAGAGACAAGATAGAAAATCCAGTTCGGCGAGAGACCCGAGTGGGATGTAAGACAATGATGCGAATTAAATTATTGAAGGACAAATCGTGGGAGGTCACGGGGTTTATTGAAGAACATACAAATCATGTGTTGAGTAGTCCAGACAAAGCAAAAATGCACAGATCACATCAACAATTCCATAAAACTCAAAGATGTAAAAAACTTATTGATAGTCTACAAGAAGAAGGTATGCCTCCTTCCACTATTTCTCGTGTCATCAATGCAACTAATGGAAGAGAAGGTGAAATAGTGACATCACAACAATGCATTGATCATATCAGAACCCAAAGAGTCAATAATATTGGTCATGAATGTATATCTATCATTCGACATTTTCAGAGTGCGACAGCGAATGATCCAGAATTTTATTTTGCAATAGAAATAGATAGTAGTGGACAATTGAGGAGTGTTTTCTGGGCCGATGGAAGATCAAGAGCATCTTATTTGAAATTTAGTGATGTTATTGTGTTTGATGTGACATACAGAATTAATAAGTCCAGTCTTCCATTTGCTCCATTTACTGGTGTAAATCAACATAGGCAGTCCACTTTACTTGGTTGTGCATTATTAGCCGATGAACAGGAAGATACATTTGTTTGGTTATTTGAAGAATGGCTGAAATGCATGCATGGCATTAAACCAGGTGCTATTATAACAGATCAGGATAGAGCAATGTGTAATGCTATTCACTCAGTGTTTCCAACGATAAGACATCGTTATTGCTATTGGCACATGCAAAAGCATATTATTGATCATTTGCATACTTTGATATCTCGTTATGGTGAATAGTTTCAAAGGTATTGGGGCTTGTGGTATAATAGTTCTTCAATTGAACAATGTGAAGGATATTGGGTTGAGATGAAAGAGAAGTTTGATATAAATGAAGAAGGTGAGGGATGGTTGCAAACAATTTACAAATACCGAGATCACTGGGTGCCGTGTTATCTGAAGGACACTTTTTTTGCTAGAATGAGATCAAGCCAAAGAAGTGAAAGTATTAATGCATTTTTTGATGAGTATGTTAACTCACAGACTCAATTACATGTGTTTGTGACACAATATGAAAAAGCAGTAACTCATCGTCGCTTATTTTAAGAATCTTAACACAAAGCCTGTCATGCTCCTTGGACATCCAATTGAGGTCCAAGCTGGAGAAATGTATACACGCAATATGTTTGATGTGTTCCAAACCGAATTCAAAGGATTTGGTACAGAGTTTTGTGAAGAATTGAGAAAAGATGGGGACATTGTTGAATACAAGGTCTGTAAGTTTACAGATAGAGGAAATTGGGAGGTGGTCACTTATGAACAATCTAGTCAGATGCAGTTCCGTTGCACTTGTGCTTTGTTTGAAACTAATGGTGTTGTATGTAGACATATATTATCGCTAATGATGGCTAGGCAAATGGATTCATTACCCGACCATTACATCCTACACCGTTGGACTATACATGCTCGACATTGTAACATTGGGGTTGGCAACATTATATATGGAAGAAACATCATAAGCTGTGAAGAGAAGATTAACTTATTGAAAACTTGGGCTTTAAGAGCAAAATTCAACAATGCGCTCGAACTTGCATTTATTTCAGAAGAGAAGATGCAAAATCTAGATGATGTGCTGACAAAATTTATAGAACAACTGCTAGAAGAAGTTGGAGCACATTCCTCAAATCAAGATCAAAAGGTGGATACTCCTCAAATTTCTGCACACGTCTCACATACAATGGAGCACATTCCTCAGATTACAATTCGTGATCCTGATAGAGCTGCAAGGGCTAAAGGTCGTCCACGTAATGCAACTAGAATCCAGTCAGGTTTAGAACAAGCACAAGAAAAGAAAGAAAGGAAGAAACGTATATGTAGCAGATGTGGTGAACTCGGGCATTATAGAACTAGCTGTAAAGTCAACTTGCCAATGTACAGTTAATATTTTTCCATGAAAGTTCATAACACATAAATTTTGCATTTAGTACAATTATAAATTTTGCAATTAGAGAAAGGCTTCATTAAGCAACAACAACTTTAAAATCATATAGTGATTCAACATGTAATCACAGTTGGGAAAGATAAATAACATTCATAATCCAGTGCTTATCCTAGTTAATGTCATTATCAACTATCAAGGAAACACAACTGGAGGATGGATTCTAGATGTAATCAGAAAGGAAGACATTGTTTCCTTGGGAGAAATCTCAAACATTGAAAGCTCAACAGTGGACATACGGAAGATACACATGATATAAAGCTTTGGAAGCCTTAACCTTCAGTTTATAAAGCTCAATCAGTCTGTTTTTTCCTCATTGGTAGCAATTATTACCTTTGACGTCTCTTTTTGATTAAAAAGAAAGCCAATGTATATCTTGCAGACCACTACATGAAGCTTAACTATGCAATACATGAAAATTGTAACAACATCGGAAACTTGAGCAATGCGACAACTAAACACTACCAGAACATGCACAAGAAAATCAGTTACAGCATCGGAAACATAACTATGCAATACATGGAGAACATACACTTCAACAAATCCAATAATACATTCTTACACCCTACTTAGCACAAATCCAATAAAAATACCAAATACAAATCCTAGAAAAATACCAAATAAAAGAGCAAATATAACAAGCTTCAACAAATCCAAAATATCAATCTCAATCTTTCTCTTTTCCCGCACTTCTCCACTTGACACGGCTCTTGAAACTTGCGGCGTCACGCTCGACTGCTTGGTCTGAACAAGCTCTACCTTTGAACCTTCAAACTCCTCTTCATCAGATACCCATTTGAAGAATCCACAATTACTCACTTTCCAATTAGCGCATCCCAAAAACAATCAACCGGAGTTCTTCTTAGTTTCAGATCTGGAGAGTATAGCCCTCCTTCCACAATGGCACAACAGTCCATGATGATTGCTTGAAGATGACTCCATGATCCACGGCTATAGATACAAAAGTTTGCATATTCATAGCAATTGAAAAATAATAATTGGCAAAATAATAAAAACACACTCAGATACAAAAGCTCACTCGTGATCCTCTAAATATCAACGTGTTGAACATAACTATTGAAGTGATCAGGTTAGCTATAGAAGATTTCTATCATTCTTTGCCTACTGGTTTCTGCTTAATTAACATATATATTTTCAAACTTTGTTCAATTATAAAGTTCAACTGAAAACTTAAAAAGTTCAGTAGGAAGAATGTTATTTGCTTGGAAGTTAAATTAAAACAAGCAAGCTTAAGCACGCTCATTGATATTCCTGGCCCCCTGCAATTGAAGTAATTGTCTTCAGCTATTGTATGTTTGTGTAGCCATATCAAATATCCATAAAGTTAGAAATATTAAATGGATTTGTAGGACAACAGGATTCACTTACTCATAAAGTTAGAAATCTTTCGGTAGCATATCAAATATCCAACGCAAATAACGACTATATTTCATTTTGACTTCACTTTACTTCCCCGACAATTAAAAGAAGATTGTATATTAGGAATGGATAATCTCCGTTTATTATCACCTTTCAATACTTATTTCTTTGAATTACACAGAATTTAGGTGCCCAAAGTACCTTTTCCAACCCAAATTGCTGAACATTATCAAATTTTCCAATGAAAACAGAGAGGGAAAAAAATACTGAGAGATCAACTTATACTCATACTCCAATTAACTTACAGAAAGAAAGCACTAACTCCAAATCTCACAGCAAGCCCCATTCCAAATATAAACAGTTATATTAACCCAAAACAGAGACTTTCACTGACCTTAGGAATCGCTGAAGAGAATTGAGGAAAGGGGGCAGAGAGAGGTCGGGATCGCGCCGGAGGATTTGGTCTCGCGCCGGAGGAAGGGGGCGGACAGAGGTCGGGATCATGCCGGAGGATTTGGGGCTCGAATCGTGGGAAGGGGGGAGATCTGTAAGGAGGAGGGGAGAGGGTAAGGTCTGTGGGGAGATCTCACGGCGGTTTCGTAGTCGAAGGAGTTGTCGTGGCGGAGGATTTGGGGTTGGGGTTTGGGGCTCGAATCGTGGCTGGGGTTTGGGGCTCGCCTACAGTTTCCTCATATATATATATATATATATATATATATATACTAGTTGAGATTCACGTGTAATACATGTGGTTGAATATCATGATTATTTAAATTGATAAAAATAAAATATAAATAAAAAACAAAGTTTTTTGTGGGATTGATCATCAATTCAATAATATCTTTCTCAAATAAAATATTATCATTGTTTCCTTCAACACAGACTGTGGCCACGTGATCTACTATTTCTGAGTTATAAACACATTGATCTAGTACAACATCTTTTTTTATTAGCATCTTGAAGTCTTCAAAAGATAGGTGATCATTCAATTCATAAAGGAATTTTGCATATGAATTTATTTACAATATGTCCATTAAACTTTTACTTGTGATCATATTCACATTAGCTTTTAGTTGTGGTTTCACTCATATTTACATTGTCTAATATTCTCATTCAATTTTATAGCCCATTCTCCGTATCATAGAAGTAAAACTGAAAGTATGAAGAATTATTTTCTTGCGAAATTAGAGCAGAGAGATTATGATATATTTCACAATCTTCTCTAAATATAAAAAAAAATTCTTTGATGCAAGGTCCCTATCTAATCTTTCCCTGATCAATGTGAATAAAAAATGCTATCATAATTCACTTGCTTAGGATAATTTTATTGTATATAAGATATATAACTCATCTGGAATATTCACATTTGCTAAATGGATTTTGCTGTTGTGAGAGCAAAATGTTAGAGGCTCGTATTCAAACTTTTTGGTTTTATAAAAGACACAAGAATATGGACTGCATAGCTTATATATCGTAAAGAACATACTGGTTCATAAAAAAATTTCCCTAATAACGATATTATTACAACGATGTTACTATTTAGTAGTAAATAAATTTTATTACATAATATTATATGGCCCTTTTTAATAAATTATAAAGTATATATATGGAAACTTTGATGCTTATAGCCAGTAGTTAGGCTCCACAAAATAAGTTAATTTTATATTGTAGTTTGCTATTGTTAGTATTATTGGCAATATCATTACTTTTCCTTTTTATCTTATTATTCATGCTTTTCTGATATGAGTTCTCTTTTGCTAATCACTCAATTAGATATATTTAGTTTTTATAATATCAGATGTTAGAATATTCTCTTCTATTTATAAAGTATTTACGTGATTTTCTTTAAAAAATATATACACATAGTAGCAATAGTATATACTTCAGTTCAACTCAAACATTAACTTAAAGTCATTTAGAATAAAATCCTTTCTACGCTAAGATGATGATATAGTGATTACATAATCCAAATGTCAAAGAAGAAATTTCTACAAGGAAAAAAATTTTAATATGTCAAATTAATAACTAATTTATAAAATATACATGGGCAGTACATATAGCTATAGAAAGTAAGGCATATATCTTCATGAAAATTTTATAGTGAGTGACAAACTACAATAATCCTAATTTAAACATAAATAATTATTATTTTAGTTATTAATTTAATACGCATAACTATGGAATAAATCTCAAGAAAAAATAGGAATTGAGATTGCATTATCCTGTAGGTAAATAAATAAATGTTATTAGAGCTTCTCTTTGTATTAAATTTAAAGTAATAATTTAAATTATTAAGCGCCAAATATTAGTTCATGTGAGAAAGTAAAAGTAATTATAGCCTATATACATATATAGTCAATCAATCAAACATATTAATATTATTATAACAACAGTCAAAATTATATTGTGGGGGTTCATATTAAATATAATTTATAAAAAATAGTACATTAAAGTCAATTTCTTTTAACCACCACATAGATTTTCTGAAAATTTTTGCATGTATAAACTATCATGCCTAGGAATTGTGATCTGCACACTTAATTATGACTTAATTCATCTTAAGAATGACTTACTCTTCAACATTATTATTAATTAACATATCTATGTATTACAGTGAAAACCTAATGAAAATTTAAAAAACTACAAAAAACACCCCAAAAAATTTTAAAATTATAAAAAAACCTCTAAAATTTTGTAATTTATAAATACACAAAACTATTAAACATTACATTGAATCAAGGAATTTAAAAAAACCATTAAAGTTTTCAAACTTTGGAGGGGTAATTTGAAATACTAAACTTTAAGGGTGTTTTTTTTATAAATTTCAAATTTAATAGATTTTCAATTGGTTATGTTCTTTTCAAAAAAGTTATGGGTAATATTGACCATAAAAAGATTTTTTTCCTAAACCTATACTTTTAAAGGGAGTATAATATGTTTTGCAAATTTTTAATTTTCTAGGATTGTTAGTAATTTTGTATATTCATTTTAGTGTCTATAGGTTAGAAATTCTCATGATTTTTTTTTATAAATTAAGAATTTTAGAGGTTTTTTGCAATTTTTTAACTTATAAGCCTTTTCTATATATTGTAAATTATTTATAGATTATTTATAATCCCTATGTTTTTAATTTACTAATGAGTTTGGAATTCTCATGGTGTTTTTTAAAATTTGAATTTTGAGTGTTTGTTTGTAATTTTTGAAACTTTAAAGGTATTTCTATAAATTATAAATGGAAAAATGGTCAGATTGGTATATTTTGTAGAGGTTTGGTGACATGTTTTCTTTTAGTTTTGTCAGATTGATATATTTTTCAACTCCGGCGCCATATAGACCTTAAATTTGATCGGAGTTACTGTTCCGCAAGTGTTGATGGGATTTTTTGCATAAAACCCCTCATCAAAAACACATCCTGCTCCTAGGCCCCCTCTCCCTCCTCCTCCTCCTCCTCTCCCTCCTCTGCCTCATCCTCTTCCTCCTCCTCCTCTCCCTCCTCCTCCCCACCATGACATGATCAAGTTTCTATAGTAAAATATACAGAGAGCAGATTTTGGGTGCCCTCC